GGCATGCCATAGAGTATAGCAGCTGCAGGTTTATATTTCACTATAGTGTGTAAGGCACTAAGTGTATATGGTGGGCATGACCTTATGTGTAATAAATTTAGATGTATATGGTGGGCATGACCTTATGTGTAATACACTTCGGTGTACATGGTGGGCACGACCTTATGTGTAGCACTACGGTGCAAATATTACTCGAATACCCAGGGTTCTCAAGGTTATGTATTGGGCTATTGTCTATGGTTTATAGATTTTTGGATAATAAATGGTAAGCATGAAAATAAGCTTTTGAGCTTATGGAATAAATGTCAAGTGTATTGATAGGAAATTTTATATTCAGTTATATTATTTTGATCATGGTAAAGTACTGGATAAGCTATTACTATGATTTAATGGCATTTGTTTTTTACAATGAAATTCATGCATGAGTTGTATTGCACTGTTATTGTTTTAATTGCCTCACTAAGTATATATTAGCGTGTGATGATTTTCAAGCGTAGGTAAAAAGCCAGTAGTGGAATAAGGAGTTCAAAGCGAAATCAAGCATCAAAAGTATATTTCTATATCAGTTGGACACCCTAAGATGTAATGTTGAAATAATTAGTGGCATGTAATTAGTAATGTTTTATTTGCTTTGTTGAACAAATTTGGAAACAAAATGGTAATTATATGAGTTTTGTATATAATGCTGAAATTACTGTAGCAGTGCATCGATGCACTGTAATAGTGCATCGATACACAATTTTAATTCAAAATTTTGGTGCATCGATGCACTGTTCACGTTATTGTAGCAGTGCATCGGTACATTGTTTGTTGTTTACGGGTACACTATTCACTATTCACGGGTATTGTTTATCACTGTTCATAAAAAATTAAAAAAAAACTTTTACCTTAAACTTGATATAATCAAATATAAATAAATATGATATGATAATTTTGATAATATTATTTATCATTTTAAGAAAATAAAGTTTAAATTGATATTGAAATGATAAAATGATTTTCGAAATTCGAGTGACATTTATAATATGTATAGGTATAATTATACGGGTTATGGGTGTTACATTATATACAACTTAAAAAGCTTAAAAAATTAAATTTTAAACTCACCTTAATGTTCTAAATACTTCACGGCAGCAACAAACTTTGGAGAGAATTCTTGAATTTTTTTAATGTTAGCCATTTGACAAATATAATAAACCAAATGAATTTAAAATTCATTTTAATTACAAATGATCATTTTATCCTTGAAATCCAATGCTCCTAAATGTTCCACATGTCAAATTCTTCATCCAAGGTTTTAGATTAAACCATGAAGTTAATAGTTACCAACTTTGCCCTTATAAATTTTCCAAATATCAATCTTACCCTTTTTAATCCAATGATTAAGATTTAACATGGAAATCATCTTAAATATAAGGGTTCATATTAAATCTTATCCTTTTTAAAAATAGGAAATGACTTCTTTGTCCTTGCTCTGTTATCTAGCAAAATTTCCTAAATTTTTCAGTTCGATCCGATTATCCATTATTTTTCAAACTTTAACACTTTATAGCTTTAACACCAATTCCGTACCAAAAATATGAATAACATGAAAACATCATTCTAGGTGGTAAACTATTTATTTACGAGAATAAAATATCTATTTTTTAAAATTATCATTTAGTCCATAAACTATAGTTTATACTTTAACTACCAAACTTTCAATTTATTCATTTTGGCCAATCAAATTTTGGAGTATTACATTGTAGTTAAGATTCCTTTGATTAATAATACATCGTTGACTACATTTTTGCAAGTGTTTTTCCTTTGTGCCTTCGAAGCATTCTTTATCATAAAGTTCTTTAAGTTCTTCATGAGGGAGATCTTCACACTCCGATTTACATTTTTATTGTGATTAGGAGGGTTGGTTAGAGTTGATTATCGAGTTTTCCTAATCAATTATGGTTAGGAGGGTTCGCAGGACATTTATCCATCATCCTTATCATCATCATCATGCCATGACAACTATATCGTCATAGACATTTATGATAAAAATCTGACTCGACTCGACCCATGCCCATCCTTAGTTGTGCCTGTGTGGTTTGTAATAAGGATAAAATTTTCAAAGCATTATTTTGTATTTGATTTTTCCTTTTGTTTTCAATTCTTTTGTTATGTTCAAATTTAGTCTCAAGTGTGTATAGAATAATTAATGATTTTCTCTCAAAAAGTGATATAGAGAAATAATAAACAATATTTGGGAAAGCCTCATGTGCGGCAATCTTAATATACGGTTAAGGAAATGCGCTACCGGAAATGTTATTATTTTTTAACATTTTTGGTAAAAAATTACCTAAAACATTATTATTTCTACCGAAAATGTTATTATTGGATGCTTTACCGAAAATGTTTAACATATACAGTAAAACGCTATCTAAAACTTTATTTTTTTCTACCAAAAATATTTTAAGTAAAAAAAATAATGTTTTAGGTAATTTTTTTACCAAAAAATATTAAAAAAATAATAAATTTTCGATAATGTTTTCTTTAACCGTATATTAAAGTTATCGTACGGTAGAACTACCCACAATATTTATAATGTAGATAAAAACTATTTTCATCTACTACAAATTATATTTGATTGTTTAGTGATGATGGCGACAAAAAGAATGACCAATGATGACAGTGTCCGAGACTTAAACATTATTCAATGAAAAAAATTTGAATAGTATTGAACAGATTCTAATGTGTCATACCAACTTTTTTTTAGTGATAATGATTGTAATAAAAATATTTAAAAATCTAATAATTATATTACATGTTTCGAAGTTTAGTGATTAAAATATAATATCTTAAACTTTTGATTATTTATATAGTTTGTTGTATTCGATAAATGAAAACATACATATGCCATCATGCATCAATTGCGACATTTGGATTAGGCAAAGATTATTATCAACGAAAAAATATTTTTCATAATCACATACTTATGTTTGGTTTAAAAATATTTCCTTCAGGAATAATGAAACATTACCTACAATAACTATTTTTGCCTGGATTTCGAGAACCTTATTCTCTTCAATATCTTAGGTATGTGTTAATTCCCATCTTAGATAAAAGTACCCCAAAACAAGTGAATTATTTCAAAATTATCATCTCATTTATTTTTTTAAATTATATGATAATCTCTAGTTTTATAATTTATTTTCTCATTCGATCATTGATTTAGGTTAGATATTATATTATTGTGGATATTATAAAGGTAAAAATATTATTATTTTAGTATAAATTTATTTTATTTTTTGTTGTAGTTCTATTTTTTTAATACTTATTATAAAACAATATGATTCATATAATAAAATATTTTCCGTATTATATTTTATTTTATGTTTTCTATTAATTTTAAAAAATATTTCGATATGATATTTCACTACACAACTCATACATGTAGCATGAATAAAAAAAAGTGTAGCACTTAACACATACTTATACCGGTGTAAATATATACATATCCTAATATCTTGGTATGTAACAATAAACAATTAATTATATTTGTATAAGTATGTTTATGTATTTTCAAATAAATTAAAAATAATATATATATTAAATTATTTGTATACATATTTTATTAAAAAAATATAAACTAAAATAATAATAAATTATATTTTTATAAACTTTCTTGTAAATATTTTAATTTTAATTTTGAGAATATAACTTGTTAAAAATAAAATAAATCTCAAGGACAGTTTGATAAAGTATATATTTTTGTTATTTTATATTCATTCAACCAAACATTGTAATCTTACATTCCTGTCAAACAAACCAAATATTTTTTATTTATTTTATATCCCAAAAATGATACATTTTGGCACGATTATTTTGATGCTCATAAAGCCCAAAACGATGTCGTTTTGTTAATGAAAAAATTCATTCCATGGGATTTGATCGAGAGATCTGTTTAACTTAATGAGAAGCAACCAACAACCAAGCTAACTTAAGAACTTATTATAATTTTAACAAAACTAATATATATGTTAAATAACGGTTTGAATTAATATAATTTATTTAATATTATTTAATATTATATATGATTTATAATAAAAATAATAAGTTTTCATAAACCCTAAAATTTTTGAAATTCTCAAATTCCCCCAAAACCCGAAGTACCAAATCCAATTTCACCCATTGTCGCCACCGAATCAACGACCACCGCCCACCACTTCTTTCGTCATAACCTTACCACCAATTACCTCACTATGCTATTGCTGGAAATTGGTGAACGATGTGCTAATCGATCATTAAACGTCGAATGTAAAATATTTTAATCGAACTATAAACGATGACCGATCAACGAGCAAATGGCGAATGATGTGCACGACGAGAGGAGGAAGCTTCAGTGCGAAGGAAATGGCATGCTATCGACAATGATGGTAGGTGAACTTAGGGATTGCTATTTAGAGATTAGGTTTTTTAGGATTTTATTTTGGAATTTAGGGTTTTTTGGAATTTTACCAATTTTTCTCAAAGAAAACTATGTTGTTTCGAGTTTTTTAGCACCAAGCACAATCATGCCAAAATGATGTCGTTTTGGTGAGGTAGCCGTGTCAACAACGTCAAGACGCACGACTACCATGTCATCATTAACGACAGAGTGATATAATTGCACTTAAAAATAAACGTTAGCTTTAAAATTAACAAAATTAAAAGTTTAATGGTATAAATGAGTCAACATTTAAAGTTTGGTGGTATCTGGTGTAGTTTATCCCAAACAATATTGAGAATAATTTTGAAGTGATGGATGGACCGATGAGAGGAGCGTATGGGCTGTAGTAGGTTTGCATTGCACAGACAATGCATGTTCATGGAGTGTTGATTGGGCAACTACTATATCGGCCCATCTCAATAAGAATGCTCATTTTTTGCTAAAATTCGGTAGCCCCCTATTGGGCTTTAATTTGTGTTGCATGTAATCACAACGGTTAAAAGCCCTCGTGGAATCTCCTCGGCGCAAAGGAATCATTCTGGCCATTCATGCCAGATTCTCCTTTTATCAACTCCCTATGCGGCTATGCCATAGCCATTCAATAACTTTTCTAAATCAACAGCTTCAATGAGTTCAATCTCCACACAGGCAGCACTCAAAGCAAGTCGAATTGCAGCATTGAACCCAGTTTTCTCATCGTCTAAAGAAGCCCCCCCGCCTCCATGTTTGTCTCTCTTTAAGGTTCCGATTTGTGTCCTTTACTTGTTACAGTTTCGTTCCCGTGGTCTTTACTGCAATCTATCGTCGCGGCTGACCCTGTTGCTACTTCTATCTTTAGAATTCCATTTCAGGTTCATCTGGATTGTCCTCAAAGGACAACGCTTTCCTCAGGGGCCATTCTATCAACAGCCAATTCCTGAATTTTTATGCAAGTCGTGCTCGGATAAAGAAAAGAGGTAATTATAATGTAATTACTCTCATTTTGTTGCTAATGTTTCAGGCGTTTTTGGTAAATTTATTCTTCATCATATTCTTCAAGAGAAGTCATTAAGAATTGCTAATGTTTGTGGGTTAATTACATTATAAATACGATCAGTTACTGAACTTCAAGCTTTGTTTTTGCAATGCCAAAGAGCTTGCTGTTTCGCCCACCTGTGTCCTTCCACTGACCGAGGAGAACGTAGAGAAGGTGTTGGATGAGGTGCGTCCTGGTTTAATGGCCGATGGAGGAAATGTGGCTTTGCACGAAATAGATGGTCTCGTTGTGGTCTTGAAGTTGCAAGGCGCGTGCGGTTCGTGTCCTAGCTCAACAATGACCCTAAAGATGGGAATCGAAACACGCCTCCGAGATAAAATTCCAGAAATTTTGGAAGTGGAGCAGATCATGGACACTGAGACAGGACTTGAGTTGAATAAAGACAACATTGAAAAGGTTAGTTAACTGCAACTCTAATGATCGAGTATTTTAAGACCTTATTTTCCTCATTTCTTCATAACTTAATTATCTGATCCTTGTACATTCATTTACTTGATAAACTCATGTTGAAGGCAACATGAACTGTTGATAAAAGTATGGGAAAACTCGGACCGATAAATTGTTTATCTTTCTCGCTGAAAGATTGGAAGAGTTGTATAGTTTAAAGGTTATTCAGTAAACTGGGAACTGTCCATATGTAACTTTATGGAGTTGAATTGTAATATTTTTTTGTTTCTTTTATATACATTTTCTCGGAAAGGTGGTAGAGAGGTTGGAAATAATATTTTTGGCAGAAAAAACTGCAGAATCTACTGTTGACTTCAGTAGCAAAATACTTTATGATCTGCATTTATCAGTATAAGTGGAAAGATTGACATGCAAAAGTAGGGGTTAAACCAGGGTTTTGGTTGAACACCAGAATTTTCGCTTTGAAACCCTTTCAATTCACTGCTTTATGGTGCTGTCACAATCAGTATAAATTTCAGATGCTCGTTATTAGTCTCAAATTGATTTAGTAAATTCTTTGTGAATTTTTTATTCTTTTCTTGATAATGCATACTATTTTTGTGAAGGAGAAAGAAGTTGAACGTGTAAACAAAGATCTCAAGCCAGGTTTTTTATTTTATTTTATTGCAGGTTCTAGATGAGATTAGACCATACCTGGTAGGCACAGGAGGTGGTGAACTTGTGCTTGTGGAGATAAATGACTACGTCGTAAAAGTTCGGCTTAGCGGACCTGCAGCTGGAGTTATGACAGTCCGTGTTGCTTTAACTCAAAAATTGAGGGAAAAAATACCTTCTATTGCAGCTGTACAACTGCTTGAATGATAGAAAACAATGAGGAACATCATTTTTGTGAAGCTGAAAGTACGTACCATTCGTTGCCTATATATATATCGATGGCAACTGAAATTGTAATGTTAAATCGTTGGATGAAAACACCGAGTTTTTCTGAATTGATGGGCTGTTTTTCCCATTATTTGGAGATGCTCACCAATAGGATCACAGAAAATGAGCATAGATCTGTTATTTAAATTCCGACCATATGGGAACATGATTGGTCATTAAATCCTTGAATGAGACAAGTGCCATCAATTTCCCTTGTCCCAGACCAAGATTTGTTATCATTTTTATTCTATTAACATGTAATGATGAACTTGTGCTCAGTTTCATGTCTCAGACCAAAAATCTAATAGTAATGTTACATTCTCGTCTAGTAGTAACGTAAGAAATCAAACATGATAATGGTGTTGGGTTTTGGAGCTGATGCAATGGACGTGCTGGGTTTCTTACAACACAATCTATGTTTACAGATTACTTTGGAATGTGTCTCAAAATTATTTGCTTTTGTTACTTCAATTAGCCTTATATTTAGCGTGCTGAGATTTTGTTCATGATACTCCTATTGCCACTTGGTTAAATTGTCATGCCTAGCTATCTCCAACTTACAACAATAACATGTCACCCACATATATACTTCCGTGTTTACGTCAAACATAATTCAATATAGGGTAAAGTGTACAAATGGTCCCCCGACTATAGGATGATGCTTTGGTGAGTCATTCGATTATTAAAAGTTACAAAATGGTCCTTTGACTATAGAATATTGCTTTGTTAAGTCTCTCGACTATTAAAAGTTATAAAATGGTCATTCGACTATTCATTATGTTCCAAACTCATTTTTTTGTTTAAAAAATTAACGGCAGTCTAAGCTGAATGTTAACCTGTTAATTGTGATATGTTAAAATCTGATCCCAGAATCTCAAACGACTATCACATCTTAATCATCATGCTAAAGTTCAGTTTAGACGACAGTCAATTTTTTAACGGAAAAGGACGATTTTGAACATAATGAATAGTTGGATGATCATTTTGTAACTTTTAATAGTTGAAAGACTTAATAAACAATATCATATAGTCAGAGGTCTACTTGTATACTTTACTCTTCAATATAAGAGTTTTTAATTTACCATATATATATATATATATATAATAGTTTTAAAAAACATTATGTGTGATTCAATAGAAAAAAGATTTGGTTATAAATATTAAAGTTGTTAATTAATTTCATAACTTAACTAAATAATTTTATTATATTTTAAATGAAAAATTTTAGAGTGCACGTTACACATCAAAATACACCACTAATATGACACATCAATGCATATTACTAACTAAATTGTTCTTATTAAATAAATTTAAAAAATATAATGACCTATCCATAATTAATCATTTATTATTATTTAGTTTAAATTTTAATAGAAATATAGTTAAATTATATTTTTTAAAATGGTCTTAAGAATTTTTATTTGTTTAGGATTAGAACACTTAATTTATATAAATTTACATATTTATCTCAATTGTAAATCAACAAAATCAGTCTTCGACAATCCTATTCAACGTTGGAAAGTCATGTTCTTCAACCTCAACTTTAAATTCTTGTTCACTCTATTCCCCACCATTTTTAGCTACTTTACATACACCTCTCTTCCATTAAGCAACCTTTATAAACAATCCCAAACAGGTCTGAGGATGGGCGAAAGGGGCACTCGTCCAGTCCCACACTTGCTCAAGGACTATAACTATAAATTCATATATAATTAAAAATAATAAATTATTTATTTAGTCACTCACTTATTATTTTATTTCTGTTTTCGTCATCCAAATATTATTATTTTTTTAAAATCATACTTAACATTACATTTTGTTTTTTTTTGTTACTCATCTTAAAAAAAATTAAAAGCGATGCTAAAGTGACATTTTTAAATTATATTTTTCACTTAATTATTCTTTAAGTCATTATTTTGTGATATTTTTTATTAGGGGCCTAATTTTTATATTCGTCTCATGCCACTAAAATCTCATAAATGAGTCTGGTCCCAAATCATCTTCACCCAAAAAATTATGATTTGAAAAATCATCCGTAGCTTCGGTTAATTCTTCATATGTAAACAATGACTTTGAATTGCCTAACCCGTAAGTAACACAATTTTTCAGCGATGAATAAGATCACTAACTGTTGATTGAATTAAGTATTCCAATCCTAAACAAATAAAAGTTTATAAAATAATTATAATTTTTAATAAAAAATAACTTAAATATATTTCTATTAAAATTTAAACTAAATAATAATAAAGGATTGTGGATAGGTCATTATGTTTTTTTAATTATGTTTTTTATTTATTTAATAAAGATAATTTAATTAGTGACGTTCATTAGTATGTCATATTAATAATGCTAGTATACGTCGATATTGATATAAATAAGTTTGTAGACACTCATTTTCGCCCGGAGCTATTTTGTTTATATATATATATATATATATATATATATATATTTATTTTATTATGTGTATATATATATGTATATAATAATATTTTTTGAAAATGTTTTTGAAAAAAATATAATATATAGTTTTGAAAACGTTTTGAAAACATTCATATATTATATAGTTTTTAAAAACATTTTGAAAATATATATAATATATAGTTTTTAAAATCATTTTGAAAATATATAATATATAGTTTTTTAAAACATTTTTAAATATATATAATATATAGTTTTTGAAAACATTTGTGAAAACAAATATATTAAATAGTTTTGAAAATATTTTTGAAAATATTTATATATTATATAGTTTTTAATATTTTTGAAAACTTATATAATATATAATTTTGAAAACATTTATATATTATATATTTTTAAAAGCATTTTGAAATTATATATTATATGTTTCTGAAAATACTTTTCTTTATATATATATATTATTTATTGTTATTTTTATTATTTATTATTATTTTTTTATTAACTTATTTTGTTTTGTTTCAGGTCTAAAACGAGGTCCAAACAAGTCTGAAAACTGGCCTGAACTAGCCCAACAGCATGTTAGGGTTTAACATCCAGTTTTAATCAAGGTACCGCACGACCCGGGCAACCGAGAGCCACGCGAAACAGACGGTCTATTGAGTTAATCGATTGACGGAATCGGCCAAGAGGGGGGTGAATTGGCAATAAAAATTTTGGTGGAAGCTTTTGCAGAAAATTGAAAGAAATTGCACAGCGATTTAGAGTGGTTCGACTTTATCAACCAAAGTCTACGTCCACTACCTTAGCTATCCACACTAAGGATTTTCCAACAAATTCACTAATTTGTTCTTTCTTTTGAGGCCAAAGAGATAACCTTACAACTCCCTCAAGAATATACCCCAATTCTTGAGAACACTCTTTTCTCAAAGAGAAATACAAATTTGCAAACTTACAAGAAAAACCTCACAAGGAAAATATGTTTGCACAATTCTAGAACAAAGAAAGAACACTCAAGAATAAATACAATTGAGCACAATAAGTGTTCTTGAAAGAAAAATGAATATTGAATGAAAAATAGACTTGAAATGCTCAAACTTGAGGTTTGATGCTTTCTCTTTGATTCTCTCTTGATTCTAATTGCTTGATGTTTCTTGTTATTAATCAATGGCTTCTAAGCTTGCTTAAATACACCTTTAATCACTTCTGAATGTTGGGGATGATTAGAGAAAATAATATAGCCGTTTTAGTGTGAAAACAATTAATAAAACAGTTTCGAGCGTGGGGGGAATCGGTACCCCCTATGGGGAATCGGTTTCCTAAGTGTAAAATTCAAATATTTCGACCATTATAGAAGGGGGGAATCGGTACCCCCTGTGGGGGAATCAGTTCCCTCCGAGCATTCTGGATTTCTCGGAGCCAAACCATTCAGGGGGAATCGGTACCCCCTTGGGGGGGAATCGGTTCCCTCTGAGCAATCTGGAATTTTTGGCTTTGAAATGGTTCGAAATACTTTGTAAAATTATTTTGAAATTGTTTTAAGATTAAAACTTAATTTTACACTTGAGTAAGGATTAAAAATGATCTTTGAAAGATTTGGAGTAATATTTTGATATTCGAATAATTCTATCGAATATACTTAGAAAATCATTTGGAAAATCTTAAAATTCATTTAACTTAATTTGTTATATCGAAATATCAAAATGTTTTCAACAATCTCCCCCTTTTTGATATAACAAAACATTTTAGTAATTTTAAGATTTGAGATTTTGAAATCATGTTTTGAAATTACTCCCCTTACTTTAACACTTCTCCCATTTAACACATTTAACACTTCTCCCCCTTTTTGTTAAATCAAAAAGACATTTTAAAGAATTAAACAAGGTTTTGAAATCATTTAGCCAATTGATTATATTTTAAGCTGCTAAGATCACAAGCAAGAGAAACGTTAGCCATTAGTTTCATAGTCAATATTCATAGTTAATGTGAAATGGAAAAATTGGTCATATATCTAATCATGAAGTAAATGATGCAATAATGAATAAATTTAATCACACCAAATAGATAATTTCTAACCATTCATAAATCCAAACAAATTCAAAGTCAATCAATCCACAATTCAAACATTCCAAAATATTCAAAATGTTAAAACAATAAGTTTGGAGTTTAAAGCAAAACATAGAATCACATATCAGGATCAGGAGGAGGAAAACGAGCTCGCATAGCGGCCATTTCGTGAGTGAGGTCATTAATACGCGTGTTGGTTGCTTCATTGTTTGCACACATCTCCCGAAGAATTTCTAATTGTTGAGCTCCCATTGTGGATAAGTGGGATTCTATAGAAGTAAAGTGTAAAGCGCGAATCCATGGTAGCATATCGGAAATCAAATGTCTCCATAAAGGATTGAAAATATGAGGCATTTAATGCGTTTGTTGTGCTTGCTCCTCAGGCTGCTCCTCGGGCTGCTCAGGCTCATCTTCGACTTCATCGATGTCTCGCATTAATTGCTCAAGCTTGAGATCTTCGTCAGCTTCGGGTGGAGCTTGTGAAGAACTAGCTCCCGGAGTATTTGCAGAAGATCGAACCCATTCATCGGTTTCCTTATCCTTAATCCATCCCGCTCTCGTTAAAGAAAGAAGGTTAATTTGTTTCTTAAGGGGAAAAACGGCATCTAGACCAACTCTAAGCCCAGCTTTGGAAAACAGATTACTCAAAATGAAACCGTAAACAAGAGATGAACAGAGTTTCTTGTTAGGAACAAGATTTACGGTTTCAACAATTTCAGCAAAAATAATCTGAGGTATGTTAATTTTAATATTGTTTTTGAAACAATGTAACCACCAAAGATCTAAGGCTCTAAGAGTAAAATAACGACCTCCAGATGGTCGAAACCACCAAGAAATCATTAGATGAAGAAAATGTTCATGAAGGTCTAAGACACTTGCACTATCCCTTCTTTTATAACGAGATCCTAAAACCTGTTTTTCATTTGAAATACCATCATTATCTAATCCTAATGTATTGACTATGTAAGCCGAGTCAATATATAATAATTGTCCTAGGAGGTAGGAACGAATTCCTATGGTTTCGGTTTCAGTTTGGTTTTTAACACAAACAGCATTAGAATAGAAAATACGAACAAGTTGATGGTAAACGATGGGTTCAAGGTCAAAGAGTTTATCAAATTTCCACTTTTGTAAAAGAGGAAGATATTTAAAATTGATAGCTAACATAGCTTGACGAGAAGGAATACGTTCTTCCCGGATTTTGTAAGAGTCGAAATATTGATAATACCAAAAACGATGATTTCTAGGACCAGGATGATTGAAACATGAATTTTGGATAGTCAAGTTAGGATCAATGGGATTAGGATTAGAAATTGGAATAGGAGGAGGATTTAGAGGTGGATTTGGTTAACGGTGTGAGCGACTAGATGATGACCTAGCACGTTTAGGATTCGACATGGTTTAGGAAATCGAAATAGAATTGATAACCTGGAATTTAGAAAACACATGTATGCAATTCAATCAATCCCAAAACTCAATTGAGTCCTCAATATTTCAAGGTTCTCTAAATCAATCCTAATGGGCAAAGTTTTTGAAAAACTTTTGAAAAATATGGTTTTGAGAAACAACATATGTATAGTTTTCATAACAACAACATAATTTAATCAAAACACAATAATTTGAAAATTAACATTTTTTTTAATTTCGAAAATTTAAAAAAATTTGGAAAATTCTTGTGTTTTTGATGAAATTGGTTGTAATATCTAGTTTCTAATCACTAAACAATCAATTCCCGATCTAAAGTTCATCCTAGAACTAATTAAAACAAGTCCTATGTTCAAAATCAATAAAATAGGGAGTTTAGAAAATTTTACCTTGAAGGATGAGATTGAGTGGATTTTGATGTTGTTTGCACGATTTTAATGATGATTGCAAGTTTAGGAGATGATATTTGAAGAGAATTCCG